CAATAAATGATACAAAGATCTCCATATCTCCCCAACAATAAATGATACAAAGATCTACATATCTCACCAACAAATGATACAAAGATCTACATATCTCACCAACAAATGATACAAAGATCTCCATATCTCACCAACAATAAATGATACAAAGATCTACATATCTCACCAACAATAAATGATACAAAGATCTCCATATCTCCCCAACAATAAATGATACAAAGATCTACATATCTCCCCAATAAATGACACAAAGATCTACATATCTCCCCAACAAATGATACAAAGATCTCCATATCTCACCAACAAATGATACAAAGATCTACATATCTCACCAACAAATGATACAAAGATCTCCATATCTCACCAATAAATGATACAAAGATCTACATATCTCCCCAACAATAAATGACACAAAGATCTACATATCTCACCAATAAATGATACAAAGATCTCCATATCTCACCAACAATAAATGATACAAAGATCTCCATATCTCACCAACAATAAATGATACAAAGATCTATATATCTCCCCAACAAATGATACAAAGATCTCCATATCTCACCAACAATAAATGACACAAAGATCTACATATCTCACCAACAATAAATGATACAAAGATCTATATATCTCCCCAACAAATGATACAAAGATCTCCATATCTCCCCAACAAATGATACAAAGATCTCCATATCTCCCCAACAAATGATACAAAGATCTCCATATCTCACCAATAAATGATACAAAGATATACATATCTCCCCAACAAATGATACAAAGATCTCCATATCTCACCAACAAATGATACAAAGATCTCCATATCTCACCAACAATAAATGATACAAAGATCTACATATCTCACCAACAATAAATGACACAAAGATCTCCATATCTCCCCAACAATAAATGATACAAAGATCTACATATCTCACCAACAATAAATGATACAAAGATCTACATATCTCCCCAACAACAAATGATACAAAGATCTACATATCTCCCCAACAACAAATGATACAAAGATCTACATATCTCACCAATAAATGATACAAAGATCTCCATATCTCACCAACAATAAATGATACAAAGATCTACATATCTCCCCAACAATAAATGATACAAAGATCTACATATCTCACCAACAATAAATGATACAAAGATCTACATATCTCACCAACAATAAATGATACAAAGATCTACATATCTCACCAACAATAAATGATACAAAGATCTACATATCTCCCCAACAATAAATGATACAAAGATCTACATATCTCCCCAATAAATGACACAAAGATCTACATATCTCACCAACAATAAATGACACAAAGATCTCCATATCTCACCAACAAATGATACAAAGATCTCCATATCTCCCCAACAAATGATACAAAGATCTCCATCTCTCACCAACAATAAATGATACAAAGATCTACATATCTCACCAATAAATGATACAAAGATCTACATATCTCACCAATAAATGATACAAAGATCTACATATCTCCCCAACAAATGATACAAAGATCTCCATCTCTCACCAACAATAAATGATACAAAGATCTACATATCTCACCAACAAATAATACAAAGATCTCCATATCTCACCAACAAATGATACAAAGATCTACATATCTCACCAAGGATAGGTTCACACCGGTGCGGCTTTGAAATCGTGCCACATCAGTGCGATTTGGACCTCCGATATCACTGCGGGTTGTGACGGGCCGAACGGTGGCTCTTGAGAGTAGAAAAATTCCTGACATCAGTGGGAAGAGACAATGGCCTATCGTTGGGTGTCATTGGGAGGAATTGTGCCCCATCATTGGGTGTCAATGGGAGGAATTGTGCCCCATCATTGGGTGTCAATGGGAGGAATTGTGCCCCATCATTGGGTGTCAATGGGAGGAATTGTGCCCCATCGTTGGGTGTCATTGGGAGGAAGCGTACCACTTCATTGGTGTCAGTGGGTGAAATTATGCCCCATTGTTGGTACCGGTGGATGAAATAGTGCCCCAAGGGCCAGATAAAAGTAAGCTAAGGGCCACATCCGACCGACCATTTGTAGACCACAGGTTTAGAACATATTCCACAGAGCAACAGCCGGTGATGTCACCAGCACATGTGCTCTGAAGGAACAGCATACCTGTGCCGTTCCTTCAGATCTCCGTGTCGTGCCCACATGTGCGCAGGAGTGACATCACAGCTTGGCCCTTCAAGTGACCGCATTCCCACACAGCGCGCCGCTTGAGGGTTTCACTTCAAGGTAAGTCCTCCATAATGTTCTAGTATTCGGTGCATACTAGCACATTATGCCTTCATCTTGCAGGGAGAAAAAATAACTTTCCAGTCTCAGGGACCCCTGCTAAAAATTACTAGATCTACAACTCCATGGTACATTAGTGTGATGGTCAGTGGGAAGAATGTCCCTTACATTGGAGGTCAGGGGGAAGAATGTCCCTTACATTGGAGGTCAGGGGGAAGAATGTCCCTTACATTGGAGGTCAGGGGGAAGAATGTCCCTTACATTGGAGGTCAGGGGGAAGAATGTCCCTTACATTGGAGGTCAGGGGGAAGAATGTCCCTTACATTGGAGGTCAGGGGGAAGAATGTCCCTTACATTGGAGGTCAGGGGGAAGAATGTCCCTTACATTGGAGGTCAGTGGGAAGAATGTCCCTTACATTGGGGGTCAGTGGGAAGAATGTCCCTTACATTGGGGTCAGTGGGAAGAATGTCCCTTACATTGGAGGTCAGTGGGAAGAATGTCCCTTACATTGGGGGTCAGTGGGAAGAATGTCCTTACATTGGGGGTCAGTGGGAAGAATGTCCCTTACATTGGTGGGTCAGTGGGAAGAATGTCCCTTACATTGGGGGTCAGGGGAAGAATGTCCCTTACATTGGGGGTCAGTGGGAAGAATGTCCCTTACATTGGGGGTCAGGGGGAAGAATGTCCCTTACATTGGTGGTCAGGGATGGATGAATAGGGAAGAATGTCCCTTACATTGGGGGTCAGTGGGAAGAATGTCCCTTACATTGGGGGTCAGTGGGAAGAATGTCCCTTACATTGGGGGTCAGTGGGAAGAATGTCCCTTACATTGGGGGGTCAGTGGGAAGAATGTCCCTTACATTGGGGGTCAGTGGGAAGAATGTCCCTTACATTGGGGGTCAGTGGGAAGAATGTCCCTTACATTGGGGGTCAGTGGGAAGAATGTCCCTTACATTGGGGGTCAGTGGGAAGAATGTCCTTACATTGGGGGTCAGTGGGAAGAATGTCCCTTACATTGGTGGGTCAGTGGGAAGAATGTCCCTTACATTGGGGGTCAGGGGGAAGAATGTCCCTTACATTGGTGGTCAGGGGGAAGAATGTCCCTTACATTGGGGGTCAGTGGGAAGAATGTCCCTTACATTGGGGGTCAGTGGGAAGAATGTCCCTTACATTGGAGGTCAGTGGGAAGAATGTTCCTTACATTGGGGGGTCAGTGGGAAGAATGTCCCTTACATTGGGGGTCAGTGGGAAGAATGTCCCTTACATTGAGGGTCAGTGGGAAGAATGTCCCTTACATTGGTGGTCAGGGGGAAGAATGTCCCTTACATTGGGGGTCAGGGGGAAGAATGTACCTTACATTGGGGTCAGTGGGAAGAATGTCCCTTACATTGAGGGTCAGTGGGAAGCATGTCCCTTACATTGGGGGTCAGTGGGAAGCAATGTCCCTTACATTGGGGGTCAGTGGAAAGAATGTCCCTTACATTGAGGGTCAGTGGGAAGAATGTCCCTTACATTGGGGGATCAGTGGGAAGAATGTCCCTTACATTGGGGGTCAGTGGGAAGAATGTCCTTTACATTGGGGGTCAGTGGGAAGAATGTCCCTTACATTGGGGGTCAGTGGGAAGAATGTCCCTTACATTGGGGTCAGTGGGAAGAATGTCCCTTACATTGGGGGTCAGTGGGAAGAATGTCCCTTACATTGGGGGTCAGGGGAAGAATGTCCCTTACATTGGGGTCAGTGGGAAGAATGTCCCTTACATTGGGGGTCAGTGGGAAGAATGTCCCTTACATTGGGGGATTCGGCGGGAAGAATGTCCCTTACATTGGGGGATTCGGCGGGAAGAATGTCCCTTACATTGGGGGATTCGGCGGGAAGAATGTCCCTTACATTGGGGGGATTCGGCGGGAAGAATGTCCCTTACATTGGGGGATTCGGCGGGAAGAATGTCCCTTACATTGGGGGATTCGGCGGGAAGAATGTCCCTTACATTGGGGGATTCGGCGGGAAGAATGTCCCTTACATTGGGGGATTCGGCGGGAAGAATGTCCCTTACATGGGGGGGGTTGGCGGGAAGAATGTCCCTTACATGGGGGGGGTTGGCGGGAAGAAATACCCACTTACAGACACCTAAAAAGACCAATGGTGTCAGTGGCAGAAATTGCTGATTGCTCAAGGATCCCTTAGCAACCTCTGGAGGATCTCTATGTTCCATTGAACTCCAGTTGACAAACCCTGATCTAGTCCATCGCTAACCTGCCATCCTTGTCCTTGTCTGACCTGGATATTGCTTGCAGGCCAGAAGTCTTGACTTCATACTTGTTCCAGGTCCGTGACTTACCAGAAACAAGGATGAATGATATTGGTCTACAATTCCAGCTCTGATGTTTCCATCTTGAAAGGTTCCTTTTTAACATTGCAAAATCCAGAATGAAATCGGGAAGTCTCTTGGGTATGGTGGCCTCCAGATTGACTTGTACCCTTTTTCTTATAGTGAAGAGAACACCCCATTGGACCTGGACGATGATGGTGGTCGCACCTTCCTCCGTGTGTTGCTCCACCTCACTATGCATGATTACCCACCTCTGGTGTCCGGAGCCCTGCAGCTGCTTTTCCGCCATTTCAGCCAAAGGCAGGAGGTGCTCCAGGCCTTCAAACAGGTCAGTGGACAATGATCCCACTGCTTGGGGAGGGAGGTCTGTAGATACCTTCTGAACAATGTCCTCTTCCTGTAGGTCCAGCTATTGGTGACCAGCCAGGATGTGGATAATTACAAACAGATAAAGCAGGATTTAGACCAGCTGAGGTCCATCGTGGAGAAGTCGGAGCTGTGGGTCTACAAAGGATCAGGGCCAGAGGAGGCTCCGGAACAGACAACTGGGACAGCGGACACTAAAGAGGCAAGTTTTCCTTCTCAAACCTTTAAAGCATAACTCCAGATATATTTTTTTGTTTTTGGGTAAAATAGGGAAGAGATTTAAATGACCCATATGGAAGGATTTTCCCTTCGTTCCCGTTCCTGTGATGCTGATACCAGAAATGGGGGAGTAATTATGGGTACAGGAATGGGTCATGGAATGTAATGCCTAACCCCTCCTCACTCAGCTTAAACTTGGAACTTTCATCCAAAGACTGCTTGCACAGTGGGGCCAACACTGGGACCCCAGAGCATCCAAACCCCATGCGACTTCGCCTGTGCTCTGCCAATGGCGGGTCAGGTGGAGGAACCACCTGGCTCAATGGTAGAAATGGCCCAGATGTAGCATGTGAGCTGGTGATTTTGAAAGTAAATATACACTATATTGGCAAAAGTATTGGGCCGCCGGCTTTTCCCCACACATGACCTTTAATGGCCCCCCAGTCTTAGTCCGTAGGGTTCAATACTGAGTTGGCCCCACCCTTTCCACACACATGACCTTTAATGGCCCCCCCAGTCTTAGTCCGTAGGGTTCAATATTGAGTTGGCCCTGCCCTTTGCAGCTATAACCGCTTCAACTCTTCTGGGAAGGCCGTCCACAAGGTTTAGGAGGGTGTCTATGGGAAGGTTGGACCATTCTTCCAGAAGAACATTTGTCAGGTCAGGCACTGATGTCGGGGGAGGAGGCCTGGCTCGCAGTCTCTGCTCTAATTCATCCCAAAGGTGTTCTATGGGGTTGAGGTCAGGACTCTGTGCAGGACAGTCAAGTTCCTCCACCCCAAACTGGCTCCTCCATGTCTTTATGGACCTTGCTTTGTGCACTGGTGGGCAGTCATGTTGGAACAGGAGGGGCCATCCCCAAACTCTTCCCACAAAGTTGGGGGCATGAAATTGTCCAAAAAATCACCTTAAAAGTTCCCTTCACTGGAACTAGGGGGCCAACCCCTGAAAACCAACCCCCCACCATAATCCCCCCTCCACCAAACTTTACACGTGGCACAGTGCAGTCAGGCAAGAACCGTTCTCCTGGCCACCACCAAACCCAGACACGTCCATTGGATTGCCAGACAGAGAACTGTGATTGGTCCCTCCAGAGAACACGCCCCCTCTGCTCTAGAGTCCAGTGGCGGCGTGCTTTACACCACGGCATCCGACGCTTTGCATTGCACTTGGTGATGGAAGGCTTAGATGCAGCTGCTCGGCCATGGAAACCCATTCCATGAAGCTCTCTACGCACTGTTGTTGGGCTCATCTGAAGGCCACACCAAGTTTGGAGGTCTTTAGCTATTGACTCTGCAGACAGTTGGCGACTTCTGCGCGCTTCAGCATGCGCTGACCCCGCCCTGTCATGTGACGTGGCCTACCACTTGGTGGCTGAGTGGCTGTTGTTCCCAGTAGCTTCCACTTTGTTATAATCCCACTAACAGTTGAGCGTGGAATATTTAGTAGCCAGGAAATGTCACGGATGGACTTATTGCCCAGGTGGCCACCTATCACGGGACCACGCTTGGAGTCACTGAGCTCCTGAGAGCGACCCATTCTTTCACCAATGTTTGTAGAAGCCGTCTGCATGCCTAGGGGCTTGATTGTATACACCTGTGTCCATGGAGGGGATTGGAGCACCTGAATCACATGATATGGAGGGGATTGGAGCACCTGAATCACATGATATGGAGGGGATTGGAACACCTGAATCACATGATATGGAGGGGATTGGAACACCTGAATCACATGATGTGGAGGGGATTGGAACACCTGAATCACATGATGTGGAGGGGATTGGAACACACTGAATCGCATGATGTGGAGGGGATTGGGACACCTGAATCGCATGATGTGGAGGGGATTGGGACACCTGAATCGCATGATGTGGAGGGGATTGGGACACCTGAATCGCATGATGTGGAGGGGATTGGGACACCTGAATCGCATGATGTGGAGGGGATTGGGACACCTGAATCGCATGATGTGGAGGGGATTGGGACACCTGAATCGCATGATGTGGAGGGGATTGGGACACCTGAATCACATGATGTGGAGGGGATTGGGACACCTGAATCACATGATGTGGAGGGGATTGGGACACCTGAATCACATGATTGGGATTGCTGGCCCAATACTTCTGGCAAGCAATGCATTTCCATATTGAATGTGTCATACATGTAGACCGGCAGTTTTATCATCTTTCTGAACATTCGGAGCCCTCAGGATGTTAATCTTGTTATCTGAGTTTATTTTCTGCCTTTTGTAGGAAGGATCTGGGAAGCCAAAGAAAGCGGAGAGCACCAGCAGCTATAACTACAGAGTGGTTCGAGAGGTGTGTGTGCGCCTCGTACTTGGGGGGGGGGGGGGGGGGGGTTGATACCTATCTTGTCTTCTGTGTATTGTTTTATTACCACCCCCTCTTTCCATAGATCCTCCTGAGGCTCAGCAAGCTCTGTGTGCAGGAGAACACGTCTGGCCGCAGAAACCGCAAGCAGCAACAGCGTCTCCTGCGCAACATGGGGGCGCACACGGTGGTGCTGGAGCTGCTGCAGATACCCTATGAGAAGGTTTGCACCTATTTGCTGCTGATGGTCATGAATGGCTCATTGGAGAGTTCCGTGTTGGTAACGTTGTGTGTTGTCACTGACATTGGACTGTCATTAATGCTCCTCCTTCTCTTTGGGTCTCTCCAGTCTGAGGACACCCGCATGCAGGAGATAATGAGGATCGCTCATGAATTCCTTCAGAACTTCTGTGCCGGAAACCAGCAGAACCAGGCTCTGCTCCACAAACACATCAACCTCTTCCTGACCCCGGGGGTGAGTGCCGGGACCATCCATGGAGCACATTGAACACTTCCCTGCAGTCCTGAGTCCTCGGCAATGCCGGCTGATACATTGTATGTGTCTCGTAGATTCTGGAAGCGGTCACTATGCAGCATATCTTCAGGGACAACTTCCAGTTGTGCAGCGAAATAAATGAGCGCGTCGTTCAGCACTTTGCTCACTGCATTGAGACTCACGGCCGCAGCGTGCAATACATCAAGTTCTTACAGACCATCGTGAAGGCTGAGGGCCGATTCATCAAGAAGTGCCAGGACATTGTCATGGCGGAGGTGAGAGCCACCAACAATGGACTCCAAGGAGTAGCGGGATATACAATGTATCCACTCCGTGTGTTACATGTTCAGTGTATCCACTCCGTGTGTTACATGTTCAGTGTATCCACTCCGTGTGTTACATGTTCAGTGTATCCACTCCGTGTGTTACATGTTCAGTGTATCCACTCCGTGTGTTACATGTTCAGTGTATCCACTCCGTGTGTTACATGTTCAGTGTATCCACTCCGTGTGTTACATGTTCAGTGTATCCACTCCGTGTGTTACATGTTCAGTGTATCCACTCCCGTGTGTTACATGTTCAGTGTATCCACTCCGTGTGTTACATGTTCAGTGTATCCACTCCGTGTGTTACATGTTCAGTGTATCCACTCCGTGTGTTTACATGTTCAGTGTATCCACTCCGTGTGTTACATGTTCAGTGTATCCACTCCGTGTGTTACATGTTCAGTGTATCCACTCCGTGTGTTACATGTTCAGTGTATCCACTCCGTGTGTTACATGTTCAGTGTATCCACTCCGTGTGTTACATGTTCAGTGTATCCACTCCGTGTGTTACATGTTCAGTGGTCTCCCTGGTCTACCCCCCCCCCCCCCCCTCCCTCCCTCCCTGGTCTACCCCCCCTCCCCTCCCTCCCTCCCTCCCTGGTCTACCCCCCTCCCCTCCCTCCCTCCCCTCCCTGGTCTACCCCCCTCCCCTCCCTCCCTCCCCCTGGTCTACCCCCCCCCCCCTCCCCCCCTCCCTCCCTCCCTGGTCCCCTCCCCTCCCTGGGTACCCCCCTCCCCTCCCTCCCTCCCTCCCTGGTCTACCCCCCTCCCCTCCCTCCCTCCCTCCCTGGTCTACCCCCCTCCCCTCCCTCCCTGGTCTACCCCCCTCCCCCTCCCTCCCTCCCTCCCTGGTCTACCCCCCTCCCCTCCCTCCCTCCCTCCCTGGTCTACCCCCCCTCCCCTCCCTCCCTCCCTCCCTGGTCTACCCCCCTCCCCTCCCTCCCTCCCTCCCTCCCTCCCTGGGTCTACCCCCCCCCCCTCCCTCCCTCCCTCCCTGGTCTACCCCCCCTCCCCCCTCGTCCCTCCCTCCCTCCCTGGTCTACCCCCCCTCCCTCCCTTCCTGGTCTACCCCCCCCCCCTCCCTCCCTTCCTGGTCTACCCCCCCCCCCCCTCCCTTCCTGGTCTACCCCCCCCCCCTCCCTCCCTTCCTGGTCTACCCCCCCCCTCCCTCCCTCCCTTCCTGGTCTACGCCCCCTCCCTCCCTTCCTGGTCTACGCCCCCTCCCTCCCCCCCCCCCCCTCCCTCCCTGGTCTGCCCCCCCCTCCCCCCTTCCTCTCTCTGGTCTGCCCCCCTCCACCTTCCTCTCTCTGGTCTGCCCCCCCCCTCCACCTTCCTCTCTCTGGTCTGCCCCCCCCTCCACCTTCCTCTCTCTGGTCTGCCCCCCCCCTCCACCTTCCTCTCTCTGGTCTGCCCCCCCCCTCCACCTTTCTCTCTCTGGTCTGCCCCCCCCTCCCTTTCTCACCTTTCTCTCTCTTCTCTGCCCCCCCCCCCCCTCCACCTTTCTCTCTCTGGACTGCCCCCCCCCCCCCCCTCCACCTTTCTCTCTCTCTGGTCTGCCCCCCCCCCCCCTCCACCTTTCTCTCTCTGGTCTGCCCCCCCCCCTCCACCTTTCTCTCTCTGGTCTGCCCCCCCCCCCCCCCCTCCACCTTTCTCTCTCTAGTCTGCCCCCCCCCCCACCTTTCTCTCTCTGGTCTGCCCCCCCCCCCCTCCACCTTTCTCTCTCTGGTCTGCCCCCCCCCCCCCCCCCTCCACCTTTCTCTCTCTGGTCTGCCCCCCCCCCCCCCCCCTCCACCTTTCTCTCCCTACTCAACATGCTAATGACATTTTTCAGTTTCCATTACCTACCTTATTTTAGACCCGGTGTCGTTGTTGGGTCCAAGTGTTACTCTATGGAGCAAAGGCAGATCTTGGCTGGTGGGAGGGGCTGGCAGGGTCTCCCTGTACTCCTCTCTATGGCCCTCAGTCCTGATTCCAGCAGGGGGGGGATGCTCTGATGTGAAGGGCAGAGGACACTACAGTGGAGGGGTGATGTGAAGGGGCTCAGAGGATGCTTCTTTGGGGGAGGGCTCGTTAGACACTACAGTTGGGGGAGATGTAAAGGGGGGGGGGGGATGCTGCTTTTCGGGGAGGGGGGCGGCGGAAGACACAGTGGGGGGGAATGTGAAGGGGGGGGGACAGAGGATGCTGCTTTGGGGAGAGTGGGGGGGTCGGAAGACACTACAGTGGGGGGAATGTGAAGAGGGACAGAGGATGCGGCTTTGGGAGGAGTGGTGGGGAGGTTGGAAGACACTACAGTGGGGGAGAATGTGAAGGGGGGGACAGAGGATGCTGGTTTTGGGGGGGGGGGGGGGGTCAGAGGACACTACAGTGGGGGAGAATGTGAAGGGGGGGACAGAGGATGCTGGTTTTGGGGGGGGGGGGGTCAGAGGACACTACAGTGGAGGTAGGTGGGAATGTGAAGGAATGGCAGAGGACAGTACAGTGGAGGGAGGGGGTGGGGTGATGTGAAAGAGGGCAGAGGACACTGCCATGGGGGGGCAAGGGACACTACAGTGGGGGTGGGGGGGGGGGTGGCTTTGTGATGTGCCGGGTGCAGAAGACACATCCAGCATCATCTAGCCAACCCCAGGGCTAGATGATGTTGGATGTCCTCCAGCCAGGAAATGAGGCGGGCTCTATCTGGTTACACATAGAAGAAAGAAAAATGCAGAATATCCTATAAATATATCCATAGCTATGGAAATACGCACCTTCATTTGTGACCCCCATCCCTCCTGACCCCCATCCCTCCTGACCCCCATCCTTGTCCCTCTGCAGCTGGTGAACTCCGGAGAGGATGTCCTCGTCTTCTACAATGACCGGGCCTCCTTCCAGACTCTGGTGCAGATGATGCGTTCGGAGCGGGAGCGGATGGATGAGAACAGCCCCCTCATGTACCACATCCACCTGGTGGAGCTGCTGGCCGTGTGCACGGAGGGGAAGAACGTCTACACCGAGATCAAGTGCAACTCGCTGCTGCCGCTGGACGACATTGTGCGCGTGGTGACACACGAGGATTGCATCCCGGAGGTGACACGCACATCAACCATAAGAACCGAATACTTTGGCTAACAGCTTCTGTCTTTCACAAGCGCAGTTGGCATCTTGTCTGAACAAGCGTTTGGAGAAACACATGTAGAGGATTAACCACGGAGTGCCATTTATTAATCCACCAGAGCCGAGTGATAGACATTCAGTTCTTTGGGAACAATAAACCACAATCATGGCACTGCATTACCAGACAACGTGGCCGGTACAGGCGACCAGACCACGTGGCCGGTACAGGCGACCAGACCACGTGGCCGGTACAGGCGACCAGACCACGTGGCCGGTACAGGCGACCAGACCACGTGGCCGGTACAGGCGACCAGACCACGTGGCCGGTACAGGCGACCAGACCACGTGGCCGGTACAGGCGACCAGACCACGTGGCCGGTACAGGCGACCAGACCACGTGGCCGGTACAGGCGACCAGACCACGTGGCCGGTACAGGCGACCAGACCACGTGGCCGGTACAGGCGACCAGACAATTGGATGTTCTTACCTACACATTAGTAGGTTACTCTGTTCAGTTACTTTCATGATCGATGCAGAACCTCCTCTGAAGTGGCAGTGCAGTTTGATCCCGGACGCTGCCCCAACCTGCTGATTTGAAGGTACAACAGTATGCTGCCATCACTCAGTCCCCTCCAATCAGCAGATTTCTTGTCTGCCTGGCAGGCTGCCAGGGCTGGTTCTTCCTAGTTTGTACAATACGGTGCAGGAAGTTATAGGAGGACTTAAGGAAACTTCAGATACTTCCACGCCATATTTAAACAGATAATATTTACCTGATCACCGTGTCCGTTGGCGTGTTTTGATCCGTCTGGACATGATTGGTTTCTTTCGATACACGCTAACCTCCAATGTGTTCTCACAGGTGAAGATCGCGTATATAAACTTCCTCAATCATTGCTATGTGGACACAGAAGTGGAGATGAAGGAGATCTACACCAGTAACCACATGTGGAAGCTGTTTGAGAATTTCCTGGTGGACATCTGCAGGGTGAGATGGGAGGAGTCTGTACAGAGAGATTTGTCTAGAAGTCGTCTTTTGAGAGATATTTGAGAACGCGGTGGCGTTTTTTGTACTTCAGGTGTGTAACAGCACGAGCGACAGGAAACACGCGGACTGCGTCCTGGAGCGCTACGTGACGGAAACGGTGATGAGCATCATAAACACCTTCTTCAGCTCTCCGTTCTCCGATCAGAGCACCACGCTGCAGGTCAGGTGGAGGTTTGACTGCATAAGAAGGTTGTGTGGGGACCACACAAGGGGGGAGGAACCTTCCTTCGGTCAGCTACGTGAATTAATCTTTTTATTGCACATTGTTGCCTGCTCTCGTTCTGTATATACGGATATAGACCTTTCAAGAGTAATTGTTAGAACTTTTTTAAACCGAACATCAAGGTTCTGTTTTAATTATAATTGTGTAATCTGTTGTGCTGTGAGAAATATTCACCCCAGACTTCCCACTACTGTGCCTCCCTGTGCAAGTACAGGAGGGGGGGGGGGGGGATATAATGGTTTGATCTCCTGCAGATTCGGTAGGTTTCCCCACTTACATAAAAATGAAGGGTCTAGAATTTTTTATCATAGGTGTATTTTTATATGATAGAGACAGAATATCAACCATATTCCAGAAACCACACGATACAAATGTTATAAATGGAGTTGCAGTTCAGGGAGTAAAATAAGTATTTGATCCCCAAGCAAAAACACGACTTCGTATTTGATGGAAGAACCCTTGTTGGTGAGCATAGAGGTGAGACGTCCCTTGTAGTTTTGGTGGAGGAACCCTTGTTGGGGAGCACAGAGGTGAGATGTTTCTTGTAGTTGGTGGAGGAACCCTTGTTGGCGAGCACGGAGGTGAGACGTCCCTTGTAGTTGGTGGAGGAACCCTTGTTGGTGAGCACGGAGGTGAGACGTCCCTTGTAGTTGGTGGAGGAACCCTTGTTGGTGAGCACAGAGGTGAGACATCTCTTGTAGTTGGTGGAGGAACCCTTGTTGGTGAGCATAGAGGTCAGACGTTTCTTGTAGTTGGTGGAGGAACCCTTGTTGGTGAGCATAGAGGTCAGACGTTTCTTGTAGTTGGTGGAGGAACCCTTGTTGGCGAGCACAGAGGTGAGACGTTCCTTGTAGTTGGTGGAGGAACCCTTGTTGGCGAGCACAGAGGTGAGACGTTTCCTGTAGTTGGTGGAGGAACCCTTGTTGATGAGCACAGAGGTGAGACGTTCCTTGTAGTTGGTGGAGGAACCTTGTTAGCGAGCACAGAGGTGAGACGTTCCTTGTAGTTGGTGGATCAACCCTTGTTGGTGAGCACAGAGGTGAGACGTTCCTTGTAGTTGGTGGAGGAACCCTTGTTGATGAGCACAGAGGTGAGACGTTCCTTGTAGTTGGTGGAGGAACCTTGTTAGCGAGCACAGAGGTGAGACGTTCCTTGTAGTTGGTGGATCAACCCTTGTTGGTGAGCACAGAGGTGAGACGTTCCTTGTAGTTGGTGGTGGAACCCTTGTTGGCGAGCACAGAGGTGAGACGTTCCTTGTAGTTGGTGGAGGAACCTTTTTTGGTGAGCACAGAGGTGAGACGTTCCTTGTAGTTGGTGGAGGAACCTTTTTGGTGAGCACAGAGGTGAGACGTTCCTTGTAGTTGGTGGTGGAACCCATGTTGGTGAGCACAGAGGTGAGACGTTTCTTGTAGTTGGTTCCCAGGTTTGCAAACATCTCAGGAGGGATTTTGGTCCACTCTTTTTTTTACAGATCTTCTCTAAATCCTTAAGGTTTTTTGGCTGTCGCTTGGCAACTCGAAGTTTCAGCTCCCTTCATAAATTTTCTATGGAAAATTTCTAGTGTCTGCAGACTGGCTAGGCAACTCCATGATCTTAATGTGCTTCTTCTTGAGCCACTCCTTTGTTGCCTTGACATGTTTTGGGCCATTGTCATGCTGGTGGACCCATCCAAGATTCAGTGTTCTGGCTGCGGGAAGCAGGTTCTCATCCAAGATGTTACAATACATGGCCCCTGTCCATTGGTCTCGCAATACGGCAAAGTCGGCTTGTACCTTTAGCAGAGAAACTGCCCCAAAGCAGAATGTTTCCACCTCCATGCTTGACTGTAGGGATGGTGTTCATAGGGTCATAGTCGGCATTTTGTTTCCCTCAAACACGGCGAGGCAAGTTAATGCCAAAGAGCTCAATTTTGGTCTCATCTGACCACAACACGTTCTCTCAATCCTTCTCTGAATCATTTAGATGTTCATTGGAAAACTTCAGACGGGCCTGTACATGAGCCTTCTGGAGGAGGGGGACCTTGAGGGCGCTGCAGGATTTCAGGATGGCGGCGTATTGTTACCAATGGTTGGTTTGGTGACTGTGGTGGACTGTGGATATGGATCAGCACACTACTTAAGCTGTTTTACTGGAAAGGACACAAGTCTCCCTGAAAGACGACCCCTATGTGTGTCTGCATGTATGTGTACCCGTGTTCACACTGGAAGCATGTCGCACGTCTCACAGCACTCTCCCAGCGTGAACACAGAACATGAACATACATGCAGACCCACAGAATATGATCCACTTCAGTGAGGCCACACGTGCGTGCCCTCGGTGGGAAGGGGTTAACCACATGATTTTCTTTCAGGGATAATTGTGTCCTTTACAGTAAATATCTGAAGTAGTTTATCCATGTAACCCCCCCCCCCCCCCTCCCCCACAATAGCCACCCATAAACATTCAGACACTGATGTGGCCACTTGAACTGCTCAAAATGTAAATATGGCCCTCAAACCCATATATAAAAGATCCAATCAGTACAACGGTCCAGCAGCAGACCTGGAGGATGAACTGTCACCGACAGCTCCATGTCTGTCACTGATTGTGGACCAGGATGATGGCTGTCAATCACATGATGGCTATGAATGCTTCTGATTGGTTATATCACTGATCAGTCACTGTGCTGCCTGCCCCTGTGCTGGAGAGAAAGACATTGTGTACTGGGGGGGGGGGGGGGGGGGGGGGGGGGAGGGGGGGGGGGGGGGTCGGGGGGCGGATACATTGTGACTTGAGAGAGGAAAGACACATTGGGTACTGGGGGGGGGGGGCGGACAATACATTGGGTCTTGGGGGGTGGTGGAATACATTGGGTACTGGGGAGGAATGCATTGGGTACTTAATACATTGGGTACTAGGGAGGTGGGCAATACATTGGGTACTGGGGGGATGGGCAATACCAATACATTGGGTACTTAATACATTGGGTACTGGGGGGGCGAATACATTGTGTACTTAATACATTGTGTGGGGGGGGGTGGAATACATTGGGTACTGGGGAGGAATGCATTGGGTACTTAATACATTGGGTACTAGGGAGGTGGGCAATACATTGGGTACTGGGGGGATGGGCAATACCAATACATTGGGTACTGGGGGGGCGAATACATTGTGTACTTAATACATTGTGTGGGGGGGGTGGAATACATTGGGTACTGGGGGGGGGAATACATTGGGTACTTAATACATTGTGTGGGGGTGGAATACATTGGGTACTTAATACATTGTGTGGGGGGGTGGAATACATTGTGTACTTAATACATTGTGTGGGGGGTGGAATACATTGTGTGGGGGGTGGAATACATTGGGTACTGGGGGGGTAATACATTGGGTACTGGGGGGGTAATACATTGTGTACTGGGGGGGGTAATACATTGGGTACTAAGGGGGGGTAATACATTGAGTACTGTGGGGGAATACATTTGGTATGGGGGGGAAGGTACACTGGGTTGGGGGGGGGGGTTGAGATTACTTGGTTATGGTGGGTGGGGGAGAGATACATTGGGTACTAGAGGAGAAAGAGAAGATGCTGAACCTTCAGCAGACGTGACCATAAGTGTCTTCATGAATTTGTATAAACCGTCTGGCCATGTTGGGTGTCAGGTGAAGGAGGAGCCGTGTTGGGTGAAGGAGGAACCATGTTGGGTGTCGGGTGAAGGAGGAGCCATGTTGGGTGTCGGGTGACGGAGGAGCCATGTTGGGTGTCGGGTGACGGAGGAGCCATGTTGGGTGTCGGGTGACGGAGGAGCCGCCTTTCCCATTGTCAGGAATCTTTCCTTCTTTGTATCCTCAGACCCGGCAGCCGGTGTTCGTTCAGCTCCTACAAGCCGTATTCCGGGTCTATCACTGCAGCTGGCTCCTTCCATCACAGAAGGCCTCGGTGGAGAGTTGTATTCGAGTTTTGTCTGACGTGGGTGAGTGGATGGGGGTCACTGGGGGTTTACTATACTCAGTGCTAGGAATGAGATTCGGTCTGGGTGGAGTGGAATTTTTCCTGAATGCAGCCTGTTTGAGGTTCGGCAAAGTGCCACGTCGGCCAGATCACACATCGAATCCCCTGCTGCCGAAACATAAACCGCCAAGGATCCCTGGTGACCTCGACCAGTTATGATCAATGACCTCATCTGGGGTCCCCGCTGCTGTCTGCATTACCACAGTGCTGGGGATCTGTTGTTTGTGGATCAAGTGTAGCAGGGAAACGTCGTTGGGTGGCGGGCTGTTGAGGCAATGGGTTGGCATCGTAAGGTGGTGGATTGGAGCCCAACTCCAGGATGAAAAAAAAAGCCTTATTGTAGGGCCTCACCCCACAGCCAGGGTTCAATCAACGCTTGGTATGTCTAGGGGTTAGAACTTGTTAGTACCCCCCCCCCCCCCCCCCTGGCTGTGTCTGGTGCTCTCCTCTGCCCAATGTTGGAGTGTGTGGGCAGAACCATGGCGTCATGACACACAATACAGGGACAAGAACCATGTATGGTACGCCAAGGAGGTTGGAGAGCGACCTGAGCTGATCTGCAGGGAACCGATTTCAGGGACGCTGCTGGATGGAGGGGGAAGGCAAGTGTTTACTCCTTATTCTTGCACCCCTAAACGCTAACCCTTGCAGTCCAGGGGGGACCAATACAAGACTTTTTTTTTTTTTTTTTTTTTTAATTTCCCCGTGTTGGGAAGACTATATAATACGGTTTGGTAACACCACGTGCAACTTGAAGGCAATCCCCTCCCCCAACATGTTCTTTTTTTTTTTTTTTTTTTTTTTTTAAGGATTTTTGTATTGTTGCCTTTTAGGCCAACTAAAATGATCCTCTTCCCGCAGCATTGGAACATGGCCCCTGTGGTAGACCCCAATACCTGTGCCTTATGCCAGTATATTGACCTTTACCACTTCCCATCTTCTGACATCATTGCTTACTACGTGTGAAATCTGTGAATGATTACAGAGATCACATGGTACAGGGCCATTCACAACAGCCTTGTACCATGTGACAAGCTGTGACCAATCACAGCTCTCACAGTAGTTCTTAATGGCTGCAGGAATGCAGAGAGAAGGAGAAATGATTCCTCTTACAGCCTTTATGGGTGAAAAGGCAATCGGTGTAAAAAAAAAAAAAAAAAAAAAAAAAATCTTCATCACCCCCCACAAGTAGTACAGTGTCACCATGGTAACACTACTGCTAGGGTGACAGTATGTAAAAAAAAAAAAAAAAAAAACCCAAAACAATATAAAAAAATAAAATTAAAAATTAAAAAAAATAAAATTTTTTGGTTATCAACTAATTTGGGTTTTTTATTTTTTTACTAAAAAGATAACAGAATAAATTTTGGCCAAGAATTATGATTAAATATTTATTTATTTGCAAAATTTTATAAGAACACTTTTTTTTTTTCAAATTTTTTGACTTTTTCATTTATATAGCAAAAAAAAATAAAAATCCCAGCAGTGAATAAATACCACCCAAAATAAAGTTTTATCTGTCTCAAAAAAATGCTAAAAAATTCATCTGGATACAGTGTTGCATGACCGCGCAATTGTCATTCAAAGTGTGATAGTGCTGAGAGCTGAAAATTGGCCTGGGGAGGAAGGGGGTGAAAGTGTCCGGACTGGAAGAGGGGGGGAAAGTGTCCGGACTGGAAGGGGGGAAAGGTCCGGGAAGGGGGGGAAAGTGTCCGGACTGGAAGGGGAGGGTGTCCGGACTGGAAGGGGGGGGAAAAGTGTCCGGACTGGAAGAGGGGGGGGAAAGTGTCCGGACTGGAAGAGGGGGGGGAAAGTGTCCGGACTGGAAGGGGGGGGAAAGTGTCCGAACTGGAAGGGGAGGGGGAAAGTGTCCGGACTGGAAGGGGGGGGAAAGTGTCCGGACTGGAAGGGGGGGGAAAGTGTCCGGGACTGGAAGAGGGGGGGAAAGTGTCCGGACTGGAAGGGGGGGGGAAAGTGGGGGACTGGAAGAGTGTCCGGACTGGAAGAGGGGGGGAAAGTGTCCGGACTGGAAGGGGGGGGGAAAGTGTCCGGGAAAGAAGGGGGGGGGGGAAAGTGTCCGGACTGGAAGGGGGGGAAAGGGGGGGAAAGTGTCCGGACTGGAAGAGGGGGGGAAAGTGTCCGGACTGGAAGGGGGGGGGAAAGTGTCCGGACTGGAAGAGGGGGGGAAAGTGTCCGGACTGGAAGGGGGGGGTGGAAAGGGGACTGGGGGGGGAAAGTGTCCGGACTGGAAGAGGGGGGGGAAAGTGTCCGGACTGGAAGAGGGGGGGAAAGGGCTCACCCATACACATTAACATTGGAGGGTTGTAAATATTGTGTGACCACATTGCCGGTCCTCACCACACATGCCAATGTACAGGGACCGCACAGACGGTTTCTTCTGGTTTCTAATATGGAGGACGATCTCCTCTCTCCATCGGCTGAACTCTTCCTCTTTGGATGTTTTGCAGCGAAGAGCCGTGCCATAGCCATCCCTGTTGATCTAGACAGCCAAGTGAACAACTTGTTCCTGAAAAGCCATAATATCGTACAGAAGACCGCAATGAGTTGGCGTATGTCGGCCAGAAATGCTGCCCGGCGTGATTCCGTGCTGACAGCGTCCCGGGACTATCGCAATATTATCGAACGACTGCAGGTAATTGGGGGATAACCTTTATGCATATCAGACCTTTATCCGTTTACTTCCATGACTGTTGTGGTGAACCGTCTTGGGGGAATCTTACCGACCGATGTTCTCCGGGCTCACAAAAATATGGTCAAGCTCTTGTTCCACCATCTCTGTTGAGCCGCATTTTTCTTCACACCACCGCATTTGTATGTTGTGAACAAACCCTAAAACCTGGTAGACACCTGACCTTCACACCTACATGATGAAGCCAAATGTATGTGGACTTCTCTCCAAATGGAGTTCAGGGGTCTCCAGGAGGGGTCCTGGTCCAGTGAGGGGTGCCTTCCAGGTAAGTTTGGTGAAGACCCTCCATCCCCCCATACAAAGCCAGTTCCATTGGAGACAATTTGTGCTTTTCTTCCCCCAGCTGTCCCCCTGTGTGGCCAGTTCCATAAAGACAGTTTGGTTTGAAGACCCTTTTCTGTTCCCCAAAGCATGACATGGACTGTCCCCTGTTCCCCATGACTGTACAAAGCCAGTTCCATAAAGACATGGATGTTCCCCCATGACTGTCCCCTGTGTACCCAGTTTGGTGAAGACCCTTTTCTGTTCCCCATGACTGTCCCCTGTGTACAAAGCCAGTTCCATAAAGACATGGATGACCAGTTTGGTGAAGACCCTTTTCTGTTCCCCATGACTGTCCCCTGTGTACAAAAGCCAGTGCCAAAACACAGCATCGATGGATGACCATGTTATACGGTTGACAAAGTTCCCCCATGGACTGTCCCCTGTGTACAAAACCTAGTTCCATAAACACATGGCTCGTTGACCAGTTTGTGTGAAGACCCTTTCTGTTTCCCACCATGACTGTCCAGCTCCATAAAGACATGGATGACCAGTTTGGTGTGGAGGAACTCCAGTGTCCTGTACAGAAAACAGACCTCAACCCTACTGATCACCTTTGGGGGTGGATTGGAATGCCTATGGTGAGCCAGGTCTTCTCATCCAACATCAGCAGCTGACCTCATAAATGGGCACAAATTCCCCTGCCCCCCCCCTCCCAAAAAAAAAAAAAAAAAAAAGAACAATTATTGTAGAAAGTCTTCCCAAAAGAGTGGAGGATATTATAGCCACAAAGTAGGCAGCTCTATATTGGTGACCATGGTTTTGCAATGGGAAGTCCTACAAGGTCATATAGGTGTGATGAGTGGAGGAACTGGAGTGTCCTTCAGAGACCTGATCTCAACCCTACAGAACGCCTTTAGGATGGTTGGAGTGCCGATAGTGAGCCGGGTCTTCTCATCCAACCTCAATACCTGACCTCACAAATGGGCACAAATTCCCACAAACCGCCCCCAGACTCTTGTGGAAACTTCCCAGATGAGCAAAGTCTGATATAGCCACCAAGGGGGGCAACTGAATATTAATGGCCATGGTGGGGAGCAGGTCAACTCTATATTCATCTATGGTTTGGAATGGGATGCCCAACAAGCTCATGGAGATGTGATGGTCTTGTGACTGCCAACATTTAGCCCTATAGCGTGTACTTCATAAAGAGGGAAAGTTTTTATTTCTTGAATACATTTTCTTTCTTATATTTAGGAAGTAAAATATTTATTGGGTGAGCTGAATGTAAAATATTGTATGTTGTCCTGAAACCCTTGGTGCGCTGTAGATCCCTCTGGTAGTATAGTTATGTTGTTACTCTGGGTATTAAAAGTTTGCAGGAATTCCTGAATAGTTCAAAGGAAATGTAAAAGTGTATGGACTAAAGAATGAACTTTGACCCCAGACTGGTGTACTGTAGATCTCCTCTTGTACAGACATGGAGCTCTCACTAGATCTGCATTTTTGGGGTTCTCTATGTTCTGCACAGGACATCGTGTCATCCTTAGAAGATCGGCTGCGTCCCCTGGTCCAAGCGGAACTTTCCGTCCTTGTGGACGTCTTGCACCGGCCGGAGCTCCTGTTTCCGGAGAACACCGACGCCCGGAAGAAGTGCGAGAGCGGGCAGTTCATCTGCAAGTGAGTGGCAGCTCTGTTGGCAAACCGGCCAAATCCAGACTTCAATGTGAAACATAATTCCGAACTACAGAAAGTTCTGCTGCTTGTCTCCCCAACCCCCCGCCTTTCCAGTACAGACTCTCCCCCCGCCCCTCCAGTACAGATTCCCCCCCCCCAGTACAGATTCCCCCCCCCCCCAGGATTCTCCCCCCCCCCCAGTACAGATTCTCCCCCCCCCCCCCAGTACAGATTCCCCCCCCCCCAGTACAGATTCCCCCCCCCCCCTTCCTGCCCCTCCAGTACAGATTCCCCCCCCCCCGCCCCCCCATCCAGTACAGACTCTTCCCCCCCCCAGATTCCCCCCCCCAGTACAGATTCTCTCCCCCCCAGTACAGATTCTCCCCCCCCCCCCCTCCAGTACAGATTTCTCCCCCCCCTGCCCCTCCAGTAGATTCTCCCCCCCCCCCCCCGCCCCGCCAGTACAGATTCCCCCCCCCCCTGCCCCTCCAGTACAGATTCTCCCCCCCCCCCCCCCCGTACCCCCCCCCCCCTCCAGTACAGATTCTCCCCCCCCCCCCCCCCCCCCCTCCAGTACAGATTCTCCCCCCCCCCCCCCCCCCCCCGCCCCTCCAGTACAGATTCTCCCCCCCCCCCGCCCCTCCAGTACAGATTCTCCCCCCCCCCCCCTCCAGTACAGATTCTCCCCCCCCCCCGCCCTCCAGTACAGATTCTCCCCCCCCCCCGCCCCTCCAGTACAGATTCTCCCCCCCCCCTCCCCCCTCCAGTACAGATTCTCTCCCCCCCCCCCCAGTACAGATTCCCCCCCCCCCCTCCAGTACAGATTCTCCCCCCCCCCCCCCCCCCCCCTCCAGTACAGATTCTCTCCCCCCCCCCCGCCCCTCCCACAGATTCCAGTACAGATTCTCCCCCCCGCCCCTCCAGTACAGATTCTTGCCTTCTCTCTCCAGGTTGATCAGACACACAAAGCAGCTGCTGGAGGAGAACGAGGAGAAGTTGTGTATTAAAGTCCTGCAGACGCTGAGAGAGATGATGGCCAAAGACCGCGGCTTCGGAGACAAGGTACCCGCCTCCTGCGGCACCGAACCGCACAATGGGGGAGATCTACGACAACTGAAGAGAGCAGAATCTGGTGCAGCTGTGCACAGCAGCCAATCAGCTTCTACCTTCATCTTCAGTTAAGCTTTGACAATAAAACCTGCAAGCTGATTGGTTCCTCTGCAGAGCTGCACCAGATTCTGCACCACCCAGTTTTAGTAACACCCATTGTCTTTTTTAACCTCCACAGCCCCTTGAATGAAAAACAAAACTTCATTCCATTCAGCTCAGTGAGTCACACAGAGGAACGTCAGTGAGCTGCTCTTCAGTAGGACCGCATACATCCTGTTCATTCTGAGTTTGGCTCTTCCATTCAGTGCAGCAGAATTCTCTTAGCATCATACCCTGGAAAGAAAAGGAAATGGAAGACCATTTCTGTCCAGGCTGCGATGTGCATTTTATTAACCCCTTGTATGATTCTGCGATTTAACCACTTGATGACCGCAATATGTATACAAACGTGGTATACCGGGGCGATGGCTGAAGGAATCAACCGGCTTTCTATTGAAAGCGGGTCCTAGCAGCTCTTCAGCCACTGGATCACTTCCTGTCCCCTCCCGCCGCTTGCCGGTGTTTCTCGGGCTTACCGTTAAAACCGATGCGCCCAAGAAAGGATTTGACGGTGCGGCCGGCTGAAGATGGAGGCGGTGAGAGACTCTATGGTCTCTGATCGCCTCTATCATGATGGACAGGAGAGACGTCATAATGTCACTTCTGGGCGGCAGCAGATGTAAACACGGGCTTTAAAAAGACAAAAAAAATAACTTTTCCTTTTAAAAAGAGGAAAAAAAAGTTCAAAATGTTAGGGGAAAAAAAAAGTAAAGAAGAGATTTTGGGTCTTTAACTCCCAGATCTCTCCTTAAAGAGGACCTGTCATGCTTATTTATATTACAAGGGATGTTTAAAAAAGAAAAATAAAGGTACAGTGTGAAAATAAATAATAAAAAAAGCAAAATTTTTTTTTTTTTTCAAAGCCACCCCATCCCTCTGTGCCCGTGCCCAGAAGCGAACACATGTAATTGGCACACGCATATGTAAACGGTGTTCGCAGCACACGTGAGATATCGCCCTGAACATTAGAACAAGAGCAATCATTCTCACACTAATCCTCCTCTGTACCTCGAAAACGGGTAACCTGTAAAAATGTTTAAAGCCTCACCTATGGAGATTTTTAAGTACCGTAGTGTGATGCCATGCCACAAGCGTGCGCAGTTTTAAAGCGTGACATGTTTGGTATCTATTTACTCGCCATCACATCCGCTTTCATGTTTTATAAAAACATTGGAGTATATATAGTGTTTTTGTTGTGTTTTTTTTTTTTTTTTTTTAATTCACGAACGTATTTTTTCCAAAATTGCGTTTGAAAAACTGCTCTGCAAATACCACGTGACTTACAAAAATTGCAATGATTGCCACGCCATTCCATTCTCTAGGGTCTTTGCTAAAAAAAGAAATATATATATATATGTTAGGAGGCTATAGGTAATTTTCTAGCAATAAATATGGATTTAAACTTGTAAACAAAAACGACCCAGAAAATGGGTCTTCAAGTGGCTAAAAGAAAGTTTTTGTAACCCTCAGACATGAAATCTGAACAAAGCACATCCCTCTATAGTGTGTCCTTGTCTCAGTCCGGGGCACTGAGTGTCATTTCTGTCTGCTGCCTCCTTCCTCTGCTATCAGCATCAGTCACTTCTGACAAGTTTTCCTGACACCAAGAGATACAAAGGTCATAAGGGAGGGACCTCCAGCACACAGCCTGTGATTGACAGCCTCAGCTATGTACTTGTGAGCTGTGTGGAGGAGGGGGGGATGTTGTCCCTCCCCTCCCCAATTGGCTTTCACTGAGCATTGCCGTGTGTCTTTTCAGGTCTCTGCCACCTTTTTTTTTTTTTTCCTGAAAGCTGTGCACTTTCTAGAGAAGAGGCTGCAGATAAATGGGTACAACGTATGTAGGAGGATTTGGTTAATCTCTGTATCTGAGGGCAGTCGCTTCACTGGGGATATGGAGGGCTTACAGCCACTTTAAGCTGGTGGTTCAGTCTGTCCCGTGGCAGGGATCCCTTTTATTTGAGCTTCTAGAAGGCTGCAATCCTCAGGCAGCAGCTAACTCGGCACTTGTAGAGCCCCAGCAGCTAACTCGGCACTTGTAGAGCCCCAGCAGCTAATGGGTCTGGAAGGGGTTAACTGGCTGCACTTCCAAAGGCTGCCGCTAGATGGTAGGCTATTACCGCTGTGCCAGACCTTGGTTCACATTTCCGGATCGTCATGGATGGTGAGGGAACCTTCAGTGGCCGGAAACCGTTTTATGAGCAAAAGTTTATATTTATCAAGTTCTTGAAAGTGACCCCTAAAATAAAAAAATGTCTGCCAGTTAAATGGGGCCACAGTGGGAAGATGTCCATCTGCAGCTCTGTAATGTTCTAGAGCATGGAGCACAATCTTGCTTCAGGGCTGCCATGAAATGGCCCTTGTTGGCATGGCGCCATCACTTGGCTGCAAGTGTAAGGGCGCCCATAGACTGGTGATTGTCTCGCTCCGAGCTTTGGGCATTGGAAAGTTCCTCCATGTTTGTATCTGTAGCCGAGTCCATCCTCTTCTTGGTGGAACATTTTCTGGGAGGTCGGGCTGATTTGGTGGTAATGAGTTCTTCTCCTGAGTTTCTCTATGGACCATAAAGTAGGGGGAACTGGGGGAGGGGCAGGATTAGGTTCTGGTGTCACACGTCCCAGCGAGGCGCACATCTCTGGAGGACACCATGTTGGGGGTAGTGTGGGAGGGGCAGGATTAGGTTCTGGTGTCACACGTCCCAGCGAGGCGCACATCTCTGGAGGACACCATGTTGGGGGTAGTGGGGGAGGGGCAGGATTAGGTTCTGGTGTCACACGTCCCAGCGAGGCGCACATCTCTGGAGGACACCATGTTGGGGGTAGTGGGGGAGGGGCAGGATTAGGTTCTGGTGTCACACGTCCCAGCGAGGCGCACATCTCTGGAGGACACCATGTTGGGGTAGTGGGGGAGGGGCAGGATTAGGTTCTGGTGTCACACGTCCCAGCGAGGCGCACATCTCTGGAGGACACCATGTTGGGGGTACGGGGGTCACGGGCGTGGGATGTAGCACAGACCTAACACAATGCTTCTTTCCTCTTTTGCAGCTTGTAGCCATTGACACTGCGGAAAATTCTGAGGTTGTGACCCGTCTGTCACTTCTGTGACCCCGACTCCATTTCCTTCCCTATTCTCCTCTCCGGAGGGTTGTGTCTTCACCGTGTGCGAGGCGGGCCCTCCCCCCCCCCCCCGTGCCGTCTCCGTGTTTGCTCCTCCATCCTGTGACATTGTGACTTCTGTCCGTGGCTGTAGATGGTTGTCTGTCTGTGAGGTTCACACGGCTTTGTGTCAGCTTAAAGCACAACTCCGGGTTCAGAACTGCAACGAGGTCATCTCTACAAAACAAGTTATCCATTTACTTCCCTCCAGTCACACCGGCCCCTGGGGTGGGTTTATGGAGCGGCCTTTCTCATCCCGGGTGCCTTGAAATGGTCAGATCTTGGAGAACCCCTGCTAATGGTACATTAGTGACACCACATTGGGGGTCAGTGGGAAGAGTGTCCCTTACATTGGGGGGTCAGTGGGAAGAATGTCCCTTACATTGGGGTCAGTGGGAAGAATGTCCCTTACATTGGGGGGTCATGGGGAAGAATGTCCCTTTCATTGGGGAATCAGTGGGAAGAATGTCCCTTACATTGGGGATCAGTGGGAAGAATTGGGGGGATCAGTGGGAAGAATGTCCCTTACATTGGTGATCAGTGGGAAGAATGTCCCTTACATTGGGGGTCAGTGGGAAGAATGTCCCTTACATTGGGGGTCAGTGGGAAGAGTGTCCCTTACATTGGGGGTCAGTGGGAAGAATGTCCCTTACATTGGGGGTCAGTGGGAAGAATGTCCCTTACATTGGGGGGGGAAGAACGTCCCTTTCATTGGTGGGAAGAATGTCCCTTACATTGGGGGATCAGTGGGAAGAATGTCCCTTACATTGGGGGGGTCAGTGGGAAAGAATGTCCCTTACATTGGGGGGGTCAGTGGGAAGAGTGTCCCTTACATTGGGGGGTCAGTGGGAAGAACGTCCCTTTCATTGGGGATCAGTGGGAAGAATGTCCCTTACATTGGGGATCAGTGGGAAGAATGTCCCTTACATTGGGGGGTCAGTGGGAAGAACGTCCCTTTTCATTGGGGATCAGTGGGAAGAATGTCCCTTACATTGGGGATCAGTGGAAGAATGTCCCTTACATTGGGGGGGTCAGTGGGAAGAATGTCCCTTACATTGGGGGTCAGTGGGGAAGAATGTCCCTTACATTGGGGGGGGGGGTCAGTGGGAAGAATGTCCCTTACATTGGGGGGGTCAGTGGGAAGAATGTCCCTTACATTGTTGGTCGGTGGAAGAATGTCCCTTACATTGGGGGTCAGTGGAAGAATGTCCCTTACATTGTTGGTCGGTGGGATGGAAGAATGTCCCTTACATTGGGGGTCGGTGGGAAGAACGCCCCTTACGTTGGGGGTCGGTGGGAAAGAATGTCCCTTACATTGGGGGTCGGTGGGAAGAATGTCCCTTACATTGGGGGGTCGGTGGGAAGAATGTCCCTTACATTGGTGATCAGTGGGAAGAATGTCCCTTACGTTGGGGGTCGGTGGGAAGAATGTCCCTTACATTGGTGATCAGTGGGAAGAATGTCCCTTACGTTGGGGGTCAGTGGGAAGAATGCCCTTACGTTGGGGGTCGGTGGGAAGAATGCCCCTTACGTTGGGGGTCGGTGGGAAGAATGGTTGGGGGTCGGTGGGAAGAATGTCCCTTACGTTGGGGTCGGTGGGAAGAATGTCCCTTACGTGGGGGATGGTGGGAAGAATAGGGGTACTGGGGGAGATGGGGTACCCTCTGGTTTTAATACATATTACATTTGTTATGATCG